AACGGAAGAACTTACCCGCGGGAACACCAACGTAGATCCTCTTTCTTCATCGTATTGGTTGGTCGGCGCTGTCTGGAGCTAAACTCTGTTTCTAAGGTGTACCGTCTTCTTGGAATGTTGTTTCTAATGGAAAACCGAAGAGACAGGGAGATGGATTAAAACAGACGTTAGACAATATCTTTTGTTGGCCCAACAAGCAAGCATTAGTTTCAAAAGGCACTATACATGACATGTAGAATACAAACAGTTTCTGATCATTCCATTTTATATCCCTTGGAAAATGTATATTTTTGGAAGTACTTTTAATTTTACACATTTACATCAAACCATGGTTACATGTTACAAAATAAAATAAAATGAATATGGTATAGAATACAATAGGAATAACCTTTGGTTTCCAATGGCAATTTTGTGTTTCCAACATAACAGTATTTAATGTCATATTATAATATTTGGTGTTCTAATAATTGTTTAAAGTTTGGCCAACATATGGTATTCATGTGACATTAAATTTTTTAACCTCTACCCATAATTGTTAAGCTTTGGTAGCATATACTGTACCCTATCTCATATCCAATGTACAAATAGAGTATCTGAGTACACTTAAAAATTATAATACAAATGTTATGAACTGCAAAACCAAACAATTCCATATAGGTTTGTTACTCTTACATTCATTATGTTATACTTATGAAGAGTTGTAAGTTATCAACCATATTCTCTTTCAACTATGAACAACCATTTTGTAGATAGGAAATACTCTGCATCACTTGCAAGACAAAAGAGGAAGCATGTTCTTGATGAAAGAAGATTTTAGAAGAATAGAGTTAATGAAAATTCAACTGAGCCCAACCATGACCTAAATAATTCAAGTTATGTAAGCAGACATCATACAAGACAGCCACTGTCTGATATCAGTTCTGTTTTTGTCAATGGCCATGGAGATGTTTCTGCACGAACAGAGTGCGTAATGCTTAATTCCCAACAAAGGAGAAGGAGTGTTGGTTTTAACCAGTGCACAACCCCAACACCTGCATCTTCCCCCAGCTTCTCATGCATTTCTACTGATACAATTTCTCCCAAACAAATTTCTGCTTCAGCACGTCAAAGAAGGAGGTCAATAATGAAGCGTAAGAGTCTCCAAAACAACAGCCATCGTGGTCATCTGCAGATCAAACTCGCTGATAGAATGACCTTTTGTTCCCCTTTACTGTTTGATGCTAACACACCTCTGAGTGGTGTTACCTCCTCATCAAGTATTAAATGCAAAAATAATTCATATGGACTACCGAATTCCTATGCATCTTCATCCAACAAACATCTTGATCCAAATCTAATTCGTTCAACGACTTCGAATCTATTAAAAACCTTTTCAAGTGTTACAGAAACGACATCAACTTCCCTTAATACCAATCTGTTCAGAAGTGCTGACTCAGTGAACCCAGTTCAACAATCAGTTGCAGACTATTCATCCGATGAATCTTTAACCGATAGTTCGTGTGAATTCATAAATGAAGATCTGGATTATGATACAAGTTCAAGTCTGGACAACGACGAAGATCAATCTGCAAATGTCCCAACAATTGATTGCACAAATGCTGGTATGTATTGCTGGAATTATTATTAATAGAAAACCATAACTTAAATTCATTGTCATCCAGTTTGGTGTCTTTCAATATACTGATGTGTATAAGATATATGATGTTTTGTTCTATCTGATAAATACAGGATATTCAGATATTGGTGATCCTTCCATTGAATGCACTCAGTGTGGAGCACAAATGTGGTATCAGGAGAAGGTTGTCAAGAGAAAACATAGTGCAGTGCCTAAGTTCCAATTATATTGTGGAAAGGGTAAAGTTGTGTTGCCACTTCTGAGAACACCACCACCGTTTCTTAAACATCTTCTGTCGAATGAAAACGATGAACTGTGTAGAAATTATCAGCAGAATTGCAGAATGTACAACATAATGTTTGCATTTACGTCTCCTGGAATGAAAATTGACAATAGATTCAATAATGGAAATGGACCACCTAACATGAGAATTCAAGGGCAGGCTTACCATAGAATTGGTAGCATGATGCCTGTGCATGGAGAAAAACCGAAATTCGCCCAGCTTTATATATACGACACTGACAATGAGATTCATCATAGGATGCAAGGAATAGGGTTATGTTTCTTAAGCCAACTGAAATGCCTACTTTATATTTCCTTTGTTATTATCGTGCATGACATGTATATAGAAGAAGCTTGCGTGAATTCAAAGATATGCCGTTTCCAGATTTGTATATAACGCGACATGTCGGCAATAGACTGATTTTTGATGAACGTGATTACGATGCTGATTCAGAGCGACAAAACTTCCAGAATCTATTTTCATCTCTAACAGGTATTTCCTCATTATTCAAATATCGATGTTTTCATTAAACTAATGTTGTATTGATTCTTTTCATTTGAACGTCAAGATGAGCAACGTGCAATCTTTGAAACCATAATGGACGCCGTCAAGAAACAAAACGGAGGCGTGTTTTTTTTACATGGATACGGCGGAACCGGTAAAACGTTTATGTGGAGGACATTATCAAGTGCACTTCGTTCAGATGAAAAAATTGTTCTGGCTGTTGCTTCAAGTGACATAGCTTCCTTATTATTGCCAGGTGGTAGAACAGCCCATTCGAAGTTCAAAATTCCCATTCCAACGCTTGACAACTCTACTTGCAATATTGACAAAGACTCTGAGCATTCACAGTTATTCGAAGCTACTGATGTCATAATATGGGACGTAGCACCCATGGCTCATAAGAATTGTTTTGAGGCCTTGGATAAGACCCTTAAGGATGTCATGAGCGATAAGGGTTTTGCAAATACAATTTTTGGTGGCAAGGTAGTTATATTTGGAGGAGATTTTCGACAGATACTTCCAGTTGTTCCAAGAGCAGGCCGTTCTGATATTGTTCATGCTTCCATTTGTTCTTCTTATGTGTGGGACTATTGCCAAGTCTTAACACTAACCAAAAACATGAGACTAAAGAATGGGAGGGACGTTACAACTTCTGATGAACTTGCAGAATTCTCTAAATGGATATTAAATGTTGGCGACGGTAAAATATGTGAACCTAACGATGGATTAGCTGATATAGAAATTCCTCCGGATTTGTTAATTTCCAATTTTGAGGATCCAATAAGAGCTATAGTTGAAAGCACATACCCAAATTTGCTTGCCGACTTTCAAAATGTAGAATTTCTACAAGGAAAAGCAATACTTGCTTCAACCATTGAAGTTGTTGATAAAATTAATCATTACGTGTTAGACATGATACCGGGTAAACTCTTTTTTCTTTTGATGTTTATTTTCGTGTAGATGTTTCGTTATTAAATAATTCTTGAAAAAACATTATGGATTGATTCGTGTTTTCCCATTTCTTAGGTGAGGACAAAGAGTATTTGAGTTTTGATTCGATTGATAGAACTGATTCAAGTTACACCGAAGCCTATGAATGTCTTACTCCAGAATTTCTTAGCAAGCTTAGGACTTCAGGTGTCCCAAATCACAAACTCAGATTAAAGGTTGGTACACCAATAATGCTTATGAGGAATTTGGACCAAAACGATGGTTTGTGTAACGGAACTAGACTAATTGTTACAAGGTTGGCAAATCACGTTATTGAGGCAAAGATCATGTCTGGTAAGAATGTTGGTAACATCTTTTTCATCCCTCGAATGTCTATGTCACCTTCCGAGTCACCGTGGCTATTTAAGTTGATTAGGAGACAGTTCCCAATTATTGTGTCGTACGCAATGACAATTAATAAGTCTCAAGGCCAATCACTTGATACAGTTGGATTGTATTTGCCTACTCCTGTATTCAGTCATGGCCAGTTGTATGTAGCCATTTCAAGAGTTACAAGCAAAAGTGGTCTAAAGATCTTAATACATGATAGTATGAATGTATCAACATCTATCACTACAAATGTTGTATACAAAGAAGTTTTCCAATCTCTTTGTTGATCGGTAAGTACATAATAACAAATAATTTCTTTAATATAAATTGTTTCCGTAAATGCTGTCTAATTTTTGCATCATTTATTGTGCAGGTCAAAAAGTTGAAAACATCGTTTCCAAGCTGGTTGCGTTGTATCTGAAGACTCATGATAGTTTCTTATTTTGAAGAGTCATCAAAGTTTCTTATTTTGTTACACAATCATGATTTCAGTTTACATTTTTTAATGTTGTCAAATAAGTTTGATACACTAAATTTGGCCGAATTAGATGAACTTTTATTGAATTTCATAAAAACGATTTTACTATTACATGACAACATTAGTTCCACGTTTTATGAATTCTCGACCGGCCCCGTGCGACAGCACGAATTATCGACTAGTATATAATAAAAAAATATGTAATTAGGTTCAAATCAGTAGTAACAGACCATTCATACTACATATGTAAGTACTAACTTTACCATTGATACGAAATATGTAATATCTAAGGTTGAGTGGTTAAGCAAGTATTTACAAATCTCAAGACCTTGGATTAATCCTTGAAGAACCTCTTTGAAAGTTAAGAGTGTCCAAATATAATCACCATTTTAATTTACCTCATTCAAAACTTCAATCATGATTAAAAATAGTAGTTAATTTGATAGTTTACCCTTACACACGACTGCACAAAGCACATAGGCTTAGAACCAAAAGAAAATTATGGCATCCATGAAATCATGTTCCATTATTTATCCTTCCAATATTAAATAACATTATAACCTCATCTCTAAGTTTTTGCCTCCATTATTGGCAAACATGCTTACTAACATTCAGTGAATGGAGTGTCATATCCCAAGATTCTTGATCTGTCTCCACCTCATTTCTTCCATCAACTTGTGACCTCAAACCTCTATATAAACCGTTCTCAATGCCATCATTTTTCATCAAAATTAAAGCATAGTTTCCTTTACCACTCTTTAACTAAGTTTCTCTTTAAGCATTTTCTTTCTATTCCAATTATGGCCACTGTTGAGGTAACTATATTTTCTTTTATGTGTGCAGTAGGGTGCAAACGGTATGCCTGTCTCGTAAAAGTCTGGAAAAAACGGACATTATTGAGGGTGCATACCTAAAATATTGGTCCGCAGGACGGACCGAGTATGCAGATACTATATCTGTAAAACTTAAAAATTACAAAATTATATGTTAATATTTGCGTCTATAAAAATTCGCATAGAAATAGTACAAGCGGGACGAATATATTAGAGAGTGCAGTGTAGGACTTAAACCTTGTTTTGTCATCCCTAGTTTTCGGTTTGTTTTTAAACAACTGCTTAAGCAATTTGTGTTCATTTTTTAATGTTTGTAGGTTGTATCAGCAAAGACTGCACTATCCGACGACACCACCGCGTTATCATTGAAATCTGACGAGAAAACCACTGAAGAAGTTCTTGAGAGTCCAATTACACCAGCAACATCAGAAACCAAAGAAGAAAAAGAAGAAGAAGCTGCAATAGAATCTTCAGCTGCAGAAGAAAAAGTACCCTTGATTGGATCTGAAACTAAAGAGGTGGTAGAAGAAATTGTGAGCGTGAAAGACACAGAAGAGGAAGCAAAGAAGGAAGAAGAAACTGAGAAAGAGGAACCTGTTGAGGAAACAAAAGAAAATGCTGATTCTGCTGTTGATGTTGTCCAGGAACCACCAACTGCAGAATCTGAAACAGAAAATGTTGTTAAGGATGAGAATGTGATAGCTGAGCCTGAAACTAAGGACAATGTTAACACTGAAGAAGCACCAAAAGAGAAAGCTGAGGAGAAGGTTGAGAAAGAAGAAAGCTTAGATGAAAAGAAAGAGGAGGAAGTGATCACCAACACTGAGGCACAAATTGAGAAGAGTGAATAAGGAAAATTGTGAAACTGTTTAATTACAGAAGGGGTTAATTATTACTTTAATTATAAGTTAAGTTTCATGTCTTGTTGTTGAGTGTCTTTTTCTTGTTACTTGTTTGTTATGTTAGTGGTGTAATAAAATAGCTATAGTATTACTACTAGTAGCTAAATCTAAATGCATGGGTTCAAAACATGGGTGATGTGGTGACCCATTTCAGTAATGTGTTCCTTTGTGTGTGATTCTGCATTATTGTTTTGTATGTTAATTTGTTCAAATAAATATTTAGATTCGGTATATCTTTGAGCAATGATTTGAGTGTCCTTGAATGTTCTTCATTTTTCCAGTTTTTTCTTCGATCCAAATCCGATGTATTATCACCAATTGCAATCGATTCTTTCTTCCGCACTTGAACAACAAAATCCCATTCTTGCTATAAAACACTAAAACAAATTAAATAGTTAATCCAATTCCTGCAGATCCAACCAACAAATTAAATAATTATACAAGTCCTGCTTTCATAGACATTCTTGTCTTTATGCAACTCATTGGAAGACTGCTCTATCTCCCCACCACAAGACCTGCATCACATTCATAACAAAATAGTTAATCCAATTCCTCACAAATTCTATCATTAATCATTACAAATCTTCCACTAGAACAATAAGATAATTAGAAGGATGTTCTGATCGGGGCCTCTTCTTTCTAAGAGATTCATCACTATAACTTATTGGATTTTAGATGTTTATCGAACATGTTTTTGTTTAGTGGTATTTTTAGTAAACAAATCATCAATTTTATTTCAGTTAAGAGATTAAACTCGAAAAAATCATAAGGATAATTTGTACAAAAAATATTTGAAAAAATATATTTGTGCTTGATAACTTTAACGTTTGAAGGTAGAATAATTGGATAAAAATATCAAGAAGTAAAATGCAGAATTGCTTGAAAGGGTAAATTCAATGAAGAGAGGTTATAAAAGAAATCAAGTAAAAATGTTTAGATTAAAGTTGGGACGCAGATTCATGTTAGGGGCAATTCCGAGAGAGCATTCTTTACTTGGGAATACCTTTATGAGAGACACACCACATACTCACCTAAAACCTTAAGGTGATAGATGTGTCAATTCTCTCATTTATAAAGTGTTCATTCTTCCCATTTCTAATCAATATGTGACTTCTTCCTCACACTTGATTCTCAACACTCCCCCTCAAGTGTGAGTCTATACACAATGCTCTCCCTCATGTGGAAGCTCTCTCTTCCACACTTGTACCACCATTGACACTCTTCAATGAAACACCTTCTATCCACGACCTGCGGGAAGTGTTTCGATACAAATAAATCAGTCCCTTCACTCGAAACCAAAGGCTCATGATACCACTATTAGGGGAAATTCTGTTGAAAAATAATTCCTTGTGTCGAAGCAGTTTGCTCGACAGAGACAAGGAAATTGTTCTGGACTGGGCCCGACAGGCCCAAAAGCATTACTAAGGCCCAGTCCAAAGGGACTCACTAAGGACCACACTGGGCAAAGGGGGTCGCGTCCATGCCCGACACCCTGATGTCCAGCTCGACACTCGCTGTTCAGCTCCACGCAGTGAAGTCATGCTCGACACCCTGCTGTCCGACTCTATGTCCTGGCGTCCAGCTCGACACTCGCTGTTCAGCTCGAGGTCTTGGCGTCGAGCTCGGCACCGTGCAGCGCAGCTCGACATGATCTCGAGCTACCTGGCTAGGGCAGACTCAGTCCACCGTTACCCCAACGCCTCCGGAAAGACCGCGTCTCTGTCCGTCCGCACTTCACGCAGCACATCCAGGAAGGGGACCACGTGCTGGTCCCCACTACCCCCGTAGAACCTGGCAGTTCCTCCATTGGGCCAAATCCGCCCGGCCCAATGAAGGAACCTTGGCCCAGCGCTGGGGGCTATAAATACCCTCTGTTTCCAGAGGGTCAGGTATTCATCATTCTAACCTCAACTCTATTATCTGCTCGTACTCCCACTGACTTAAGCATCGGAGTGCCTTGCAGGTACCCCCCCCCCCTCCTCGTTCAAAAAGCCTTCAGCTCGGAGTAAGCCGTGACGGTCCAAACCTTCTGATCAGGTCAGATCAGTGGCGCCGTCTGTGGGAAACAGCTTCCCCGTCTAACGAACAGTTTCAAAGACCAAAGCTCAATCCATTCACTGTCATGGCTACCCCAACTCGTGAAGAACAACACACCCGCGTCCTCGACACCAACAACGGTCCCGCGGACAAGAATGGGCACCTGGACAATCCCAGTGATGCCGGCCACAATACCGTCCCCGTGACAACCGCCCCTGGACCTTCCACCCGCAGGGACGGGAACACTGCGTCGTCCTCGACACCTCCTCCAAGACTCGAAGACGACCCGGAGGCTCTCGCCTATCGCCAAGCTGCCCGGTTCTATGAAGTCCAAGTCCCTGCCGGGGCAGATGCCACGACTCAGGCACTGTTCGCGGCCATCAACCAAACAAATTATCTCCTATTTGCCCAAGGAGAAAGACTTAGGGCACTTGAAAATGACCGACGACCCCCGAGGAGGCATCAGAGGCCACCATCTCCACCTCCTCGGGTCGAAGAAGTTCGACACCCTACTCCCCCGCGGAGACATTACAGGGAGAACTCTAGGAGCCCCTCTCCCCCACCAAGGCAGAGGCGGCCCCAGTATGAAAGACAGCCCGTCATCCCTGCCGAAGAGCCCAGTCGCGACCCATCAAGGCACGACAGGAGGCACAACAGAGACGGGCGTGTGACCTTCAACCACCGAGCATCACGCTCGAGGGAATCTCAGCACGACCAGCGTGCCAGACATCACTACAGGACCCCTTCTCTTTCTCCAGAAAGGAGCGACGAGGACGACCCCCGCGGTCCCCTGTCGCAGGCCATCATGGACGCACCTATTCCCCCGGGCATGGAGAAGCCCCCACACCTAAAGGAGTATGATGGAGTGGCAGACCCGGTCGACCACATTGACGGGTTCGAAGCCATGCTCCACTATCACAATGTCGGGGGGCCCATCAAGTGCCGTCTCTTCCCAACAACTCTCAGGAAGGCAGCCATGGATTGGTACAAAGGACTTGCCCCGGGCTCCATCACCTCGTGGCGGAACTTGAAGAATCAGTTCATCAGTTCCTTCACGGCCTCTCGTCGCCACCCGAAGACCGAGGCAGCCCTCGAGGCCATCATCCAAAGACATGATGAGACCTTGAGGGAATTCATCAACCGCTTCAACCGGGAAGCAATTCAGGTCCCCTGCGCGGACCATATGAAGAGGTACTTGCTGGAGAGGGGCCTCCTCCCCGGCACAGAATTCAGGAAAGCTGTGGGCATTGAGCCACCTGCAACTTTTGATGCTCTCCTCGACAAAGCCCGAGCATACATGGACTACGAGGAGAGAGAAGCTGCCAACAGGGCACGAGACTCCAGGGCTCGCAACCATGGAAGCAGCTCGAGACAAGACCCTCCTCCCCGACGCACCGGAGAGAAGAGGAAGGAAGACAGACCCCGGGAGGTCCGGGAACAAAGGGGCCCCTCGGGCCGGTTTACTGAGTACACTCCGCTCACGGCTTCCCGCGAGCGTATTCTGGCGGAGTGTGCAAGCACAGATTTTAAAGACGGTGGCGTCAAGCGTCCCCGACCAGCTCCTGCCAAGCCAGGAGTAGACAAAAACAAATACTGTCAGTACCATAGGAGTCATGGTCACTTGACAGAGGACTGCGTCCACCTGAAGGACGCCATTGAAACCCTCATCAAAGGGGGGAGACTGGCACAGTACAGGAGAAACGACGCTCCCCGTCGCGAAGCCCGCGAGGCAAAGGAGCCCGAAGAAGATGCCCGACCATCTGACGAGTCGGTGCCAATCCAGACCGCCTTCTCAGTAACCAGGCCCGAGGATTTCGAACTTCCCGAGCTCCTGCAGGAGCCCCTGACTACACACAGCAGGTGGGAATACTTTCCCTCCGCCATGGTCATCAACGGGGGCGGGTTCAACGACCTCACCATCAACTCAGCAAAGAGGAAGTTGGACGAACTGGTCGACAAAGCTCCTCCACAAACTGTGACATTCGAAATGGTGAGGGGCAGATCAGAGCCTATCACCTTCTACTTGGAAGAGCTCCCCGGCGGAGCACCGAACGCAGTCATCCCCTTGCTGATAAGGGCAAAGATGGCCAATTTTGACGTGCATCGCATCCTGGTCGACGAAGGGAGTTCCGTCGACGTGATGTACACTCAGCTGTTCCGGACCTTACAACTGGACGACTCACATCTGTCTCCATATATAGGTTCGGACCTTCAAGGCTTCAACGGCTCGACGTCCAAACCTTGGGGATATGTCGAGCTCCTCGTGACGTTCGGGGAAGGAACTGCTACAAGACAGGTGAAGGTCCACTTCCTCGTCATTGACTGCCCGTCCCTGTACAATTGCATCTTGGGGAGGCCGACATTGGCAGAGCTGACAGCGGTTCCCTCAACTGTCCATCTCAAAATGAAGTTCTACACCAAACGGGCAAGGGTAGCCACCATCCAGGGCGACCTCGCTGCTGCCCGCAGGTGCTTCAACGCCGCTTCAAGGGGTCGGGATACTGTCGACGTGGGTCCCAGCACTAGGCCCATCAAGAAGACAAAGCAAGAGCCCGACAGAGCATCTCCTGAGGTAGAAGTTCAGAAGGCTCCACCAAAGGTCGACTCCATTGCGCTCGACGCCCGTTTTGACCAAGACGAGCCGGCCAGCAGCGAGCAAATCCCCCTCCGACCTATTCCGGACGGCGATTTCGAACTCGTTCCCCTCGGAGCAGACCCGACCAAGGGAGTGAAGATTGGCAAGGACCTCCCCGACTTGGCCAGGAAGCAAATCAAGGCCTGTCTGCGCGAGAATGTTGATCTCTTCGCCTGGAGCGCTGCAGAGATGCCCGGACTCGACCCTGAGGTCGCCTGTCATCACCTCGCCATTGATCCAGCCGCCAAGGCAGTAGTACAACGTAGGCGTAGGCAGT